CGATAGAGTGAAGCCGCGGAAGTCGAAGCGCTAAGTGGCGAGGGTTCACTGTATCTCTTTTGAAAACTTGTAAAGATGAAAAAAATTAAAGCAAATTGGATGATTACATTCTGAGTAGAGTCAAGATGAGTCCATTGGATTTGCAAGTCTGTGTACCTCCAAGCGCACTCCGCGCCGCCCCCCCCCCAGTAGTTTCTCACGTTCAGATGCATATGTTCTCAGAGACAGGATAGCATTTAAATTGGAAGGGAATTCTGACATCGTTGAGAAACCACTGACAACTCTCCTGGTTGTAAGCTGCCACTTGGCTTGGTTAAATGGTGACTCATCGACTAACTCCCTGTCAATGCCTTTTTCTTCTGCTCTACTTGTTGGATTCTTGGGTTCTCTTTATCCCAACTGCCTGTTTAAGGTGACTAAGCAGGAGAACACTGGAAAAGACACAGCACATCTGATTGCAGACCTAGAGTCAGAAACCCTACGTGTGAGTCAGAAGTGACTGTGGCAGTGGATGGGTGGTGATTATGCTGACTAGCCAATGGGATGCAGTAAGATCATTGTCAGTGTGGAACTGGGGCCATGGGCACCAAAGCAATTGGCAGTTGGGATCCAGGTATAACAGAGAATTTGCCCAGGATTGTTGAAATCATTTACTGAGTCCTACAGAACTCTTTATAGGTGTGCTGGAGGGGAGAAGGTGGTGACGTACAGTATTGTATCCTATGAAGACGCCTAATGCTTCTGATGATTATACCTCTTCTCTAACCGTCACCCACATTTATTCTTCGTTTTTCCTTTTGAGAGCATTCTTGTTGACTTCACCTCTCCCCTTCTCCCTCCTTCCTATTTCAGGATTCTTTTGAGGAGCTATCCTTTGGAATGCTATTTTCAAAATGAGTCAACAAGGTTATGTGGCTACACCCCCCTACTCTCAGGCCCAACCTGGAATAGGCCTTTCACCACCACATTACGGACACTATGGTGACCCGTCACACACAGCCTCTCCACCAAGTGAGTACACTTTATTTTGACTTCTATGTGATTATTGACTTCTAAGGCTGAAAATAACCCTGAGCGCCTTTTATGGTTACCTTATGATGCGTTTGCTTGAGATTATAGGGTGATGTGGAAAAGAAACCCACATCACAACTTGGCTGTTGCATGGACTACTCCATGCTTGGTTCTCAAATATAGATTAAAGGCAGAGACGTTTTTCTGAGTGTTTTGCTTTTACTGATAGACTTGCATGGACTGTTCATTCCAAAACAGCAGCAGCAAAGGAAAACCCTCACTGCCATCTGCCATCGAGTCAATTCCAACTGACAGTGACCCTCCAGGACAGGATGGCACTGCCCCTGGGGGTTTCCGAGACCGTAAGGAGGAGAGCAGAAAGCCTCATCTTTCTCCCAGGGAGCAGCTGGTAGTTTTGAACTGCTGACCTTGCATTTAGCAGCCTAATGGGTAACCCCTACCCTACTAGAACTGTGAATTAGCAAGATTTGTAAAAGCTAAAGTAGTTTGCTTCATCTTTTGTTATTGTCAATATACATAGCAAAAACAAGCACCAGTTCAACAGTTTTTACATGTCTACCTCCGTGATATTGATTGCCTTCTTTGGGTTGTGTGCCGTTCTCACTCTCCCCTTCTGAGCTGTTCCTGCCCCATTCTCATGAACTCACTGCCCCGTAAGGTTTCTGCCTGCTCTTTGCAGTTGTCCGTCCGATTCCATACTGGCAGCTCTTAAAGGAGCATAATGACCACGCAGACATTCTATACTAATGGGGCTACACTACTGTTGGGGTTTTTGTTTTTCCCAACAGCATTATTGCCATATATTTCACACATCATACAATTCAATAGTCTGATCACATCAAGAACAGTTGTACTGTGACCATCACGGTCCATTGTAGAACGTTTTCTTCATTTTTGTACTCATGGTGATTAGCTACCCCTTTCCCCCAAACCTCCCCTGCCATACACTCCAAAGGAAGACCTGAGGGGACAGCTTCCATCTAAGGTTCAAAAGTTATCTCAGGGCAGTCGTCTCAGGGGTTTATCCAGCCCCCATGGCGCTACTGAAATTTGAATTCTTAGGAATTTAAAGGCCTCTTCTGCATTTCTCCCTTTTTGATTGCATTCTTCTATAGAATCCGATCAAAATGTCCACTAACGGTAACAAAGCACTGTCCGGTCCTGTTTTCATGGCAAAAGAGGCAGTTGTGCATGGGGCAATTAGCCACACCTTCCACATCCACCTCCTGTTCCTGACTCTTTCCTCTGTTGTTCCTAGAGTATAGAGACCAATTGTTGTGCCTTGAATAACTGCGGGCGAGCTTTAAGGCCCTAGGCACCACACAACCAACTATGTGGTAGAAGAGAAGCACTAAACACATTATTAGGCCAATTAGCTGAAACTGTGAACTTCAGTCTCCAAACCAAGGGCCCACATTCCATGATGTGTGTAGTTGTGTGTCAGCAGCCTCAGCAACTACTCTTTGTTGTTGCACAGACATCTCCCACCCAACTGTGACCCATTAAACTTTTTACAGGTGCACGTGAAATAATTGACAGTGCGTTGCTGCCTTCAAGCAATGAAATGATTTTTTCAGCGTAAATTCAAAGTCAGTACTCCAGAAGAAATAACCCCCTCTGTCTTGCCCTTAAGGACCCTTACTAGCATAGTGAGTTATGCATTGGGCTACTAACCATAAGGTCAGCAGTTCAACTCCAGCAGTCTGCTCCTTGGAAGAAAGATGAGTTTTTCTGCTCCCAGAAAAGGTTTACAGTCTGGGAAACCCAGAGGGGCAGTTCTCTGCCCTATAGGGTCGCTATGAGTTGGAACTGACTTGTGGTCATGGGTCTTTGGGGGTTATTCTGCCCTTGGTGACCACTGGTAAGCATTAGTCTCTGTACATTTACCTTTTCTTGTATTTTTTTTTAATAAGTGAGGTCACACTATATTTGTCCCTTTGTTATTGACTTACCTCACTCTGCAGAATTTCTTTAAGATGTATCCATATTGTAGCACGGATCGAGACTTTGTGTCTCCTCCTGAATGAGTACTATTCCGTTGCATAGATGTATCAGAATGGCCAAAGTGTCTTGACAATAGTATTATACAAATGATTTCCTATTAGAAAAATATTAGACTCTCACACTAAAGATTATTCAGCAGTAATAATGCCAAACATGGTCTTGCTTGAAATACTTATTCAGCAACATTGGTCGTCTGTTACAATATGGTACCCAGCAGCGAGTCTTGGTGTTAAGGGCAGAAGTAGGGAATAAAAATAGTCATGCAGTGCCCAACAACTATGTTTCTGATAAAATCTGACGTCATGAAGCTGCACCCTTTTCCAGAGGGACCAAGCTTCAGGGAACAGGCGTGAAGCTTGTTTCAGACATGCTGGTTCCCAGCTCCCTGAAAGTTTTTGGGTAATAGAACTCCTGAAACTTGAGAAAATGCTGGGGAGTTCGAATCAAATTGTTTGTGGAAGTGGGCTATGTAGAACTCAATGAGTAACTCTTGGGGCCCACTTGGATTGAGTCAATACCTGGAATATAGGCTAGATATCTGAATAGCATCCAGAGAGAGTAGAGAGTGCAGTCAGTGAGGGGAGAACCCAGCCCTGTGGGAAAGCTTGATGTTAGCAACCACAGGCAGTTTGCTGCAGAATATGTTCAGTGTCAGTTTCTTGTGTCCCCCTACATTTGAAGACTTGAGGCATCCCTCCTCATATCTAGACTGCATCTTCCACCAGACGTTTATAATCAAACCTCTCAGGACCCTTTGGAAGCCACCAGTTTTTCTGCCATTTCTAGAAAGTTCGATAGTTCATCTCCTCTTAACCTTCACGTAATTATAAACTATTCCTTTTTGTATTTACCATGTACCCAAACTGTCCTAAAAGTTTTCTGTGTCTTATCTTAATTAATCCTCACACAACCCTCTGTCTTAGGTTATTAGCCTCATTGTGCAGCGAAGGGAATGGAATATCTAGGACAGCGGTTCTCAACCCGTGGGTCGCGACCCCCTTTGGGGATTGAATGACCCTTTCACAGGAATCGCCCCATTTATAACTCTAGCAAAATTACAGTTATGAAATAGCAACGAAAATGATTTTATGGTTGAGGGCTACCACCACAGGAAGAACTGTATGAAAGGGTTGCAGCATGAGGAAGGCTGAGAACCCCTGATCGAGGATAATATGATGAGTCCAAGATCACACAGCCTCTATGTGATGGAGTCAGGTCCCTGACTGCAGTCAAACATGTGACAGCCTTAGGACACACCTGAGTATGACCCTCTGTATTATTTACGCGTCCTTCCTCTCTGTATGGCCATCTGCTAACAAGTGCTGATCTTGCTAGAGATCGTAGTTCTGTCTTCCTTCTCTCCTTAACTCCACGCCGGTGCATCCCCACCCACCCTGCCAGTGGTCTCACTGTGGTCATGCGTGGCCTGGGACCCAAAGCAGTAGATATAGTATCGTGTTCTCTATCGTCTTTGACACTATTTAGTACTTTCATTTTCTCCTTCTTCTAAAATTCTCTCCTCCTTTGATTTCAAGGATACTGTCCTTCTGCTGGTTTTTGCTTGCTTCCTGGACATCTCTTTCCAAGGACCCACCTTCTATCTGATGTGCTCTTCTTTTTATCTCTAAGTTCTATCTTGATGTCTCTTCTACTCTTAAAACTTTGTCAAGTTTCCCCCCATCCACTCATGTCCCTCCATCCACGCACCTCGTTCCATATTGACTGCTATGCTCTCAGATCTATTTCTCCAGCCCAGGGTGCCTCTCCTGTTCGCCAGGCCGGTATTTCCATTGTCCCCCAATTATGTAAACATAATGAACTTGTTATGCCCCAAACAACTCGGAATTTAAAAAAAAAACAAAACATACTTTTCCCCCCTAGTTTTTATTCACTCATCCTATTCAGAAACTTCACTTTTTCAGAAAAACATAACCTTTCTTTTATTTCATTCAGTTCACATTGGAGAATTGGGGCCACTCCGATTCTGTTAGCGTCCTGTAGACATCTCTCCGCCCCAGTGCTCTCTCGCTCCCCGGTCAGAACCGCCCTCTCTCACCTGGAGACCTAAAAGTCTCCTCATGACTAGCCCTTTCTCTGGTGCTGTCAGTCTTCAAGCCAGTCCCTGCTGTTTCACAGTGACTTCCAGAGGATGCATTCACCTTGGGACTCGATTATAATGCCTGGAGGCATTTTCTGACCAATATTCCCCTTCAAACTTAATGAGAAGCCCTCTTCTCTTGTTGGCATAGCATCTGGGTAGACTTCAAGTCTATGTACACAAGACCCATTGTGTAATAATCGATGTGTCTGAAGCAGAGAAGATGCTCATTAAGTGTCTCTTCCGTGAATTCGTTGAAGGATAAGCTGCTGCAGCGAAGTGTTCTGGTGTTTACCAATGTTGTTGAAGTGAATTCTTCATGGTTGGGTTTAAACCTTTCTCCCTAGTTGATACTAGGCTATCATACTCTGTGCTATATCGTTCTATACACTACGGTGTTTTGTTTAGTTAGAGCTGTCACCCAACTACGCCAGCCTCCATTCTTTTATCTCAGAGTCATTCTAGGTCTTACGGTCCACTCTTGTGGCGGTGCCTATGAAGGTTTCTGTCAGACTCAGGCAGCCCAGCTGTGATCCTAGAGCTGGCCAGGGCTTGCTTCGTACTTCTCACATGCCGTATCTCCGTTTGTGGCTAGTAATTGTGTTTTCTGTCAAGCCAGTGCTCTGCATCAGGCTGCTGCCTCGAGATCTGCAGTTCAAATCTACTAGCCACCTTGTGGGAGAAAGATGAGCCTGCCTGCTCCCATAGAGTTGCCACCTTGGAAACCCTAGGAAGCAGTGTGCTCTGCCCTGAAGGTCACTGTGGGTCAGAATGGACTTGTCGGCAGTCGGTCTGTCTTTTGTCTTTTGTAGTCTTGTGTGAAGACAGACCTAACAGATTTATTGAGTAAAATGTTTGATACCCGTGTTAGAACAAA